AGGTCTTACATCATATCCGAAGTAGAAAAAGTTTTGACTGCATACAGGCCTAACTAGAAAGTACTTACAGTACAAAGTTAGTTACTTAGAAAAGTGGTACTTAGAGCATAGATAGGAAGACTATTCTTTCAACCAGGGAAAGAAAGGTAGAATATCTCCTACTGGGGACGGTTATCCCTTGGGTGAACCCTTAGTTCAGCCAGCTGACGCTCCATATCAAGTAGGTACCTTTCGTACACCCTTTGGCGTACTCTGAGCTCTATGACTTCAGCTCGAGTTTCAGCTAGTTCTTGCTGCAGGGTCTCATGATCTACTCTAGATCTCTCACGAGCATCTTCCAGTCGAATGGTGCGGATTGTATGCATTCTTGCATTGGTGTCAACTTCCGTGATTCGATGGAGGGTTGTCCTGCCTTGAATCTCATTTCTGGCGACTCTGCGGACTAGGATTGGCAAGACTCGGTCTGCTGAGCCTCCTTCGCTCAGGTCATAAAAGCTTCGGTCTCCGTTGAATGGTATGGGCTGATTCTGATCTTGGCTCCTTGTTTCCAAGCTTTCTACCCATGGAGGTGTCGGGCCTTGAAAAGCCGGACGAGGGTTAGGATTTGGGACAAGAGCCATCGGGGGTAGGTTCTCAACTTCAGGCTCAGAGTCAGAACCATCTGCAAAGCCTTCAGCCTGGTGACCATCCACAGGGATTAGGTGATCATTTTCTGGTTCGGCTTCAAACCCTCCTTCATTACCTTGGTTAGGGATGTACAAGTTGCCGTGGGGATGGAATCCAGCCATATTATCTACGCGAGAAAAGGGATATAAGAAATAAGCACATAAGTAATTTATAGTAACACAAAATACCCCTATAGTATTTTAGGTTTATGTTCTGTTCTAAGGTTTTCGTTGTGGTAGTGTTGGTAAGTTTTTAGACTTTTGCAACTCACAACCACACTTAGGCACATGCTAGTCAATCCTCGGATAATATAGTTGATCAGGCTATATCTTCCAAGCTTTGACTATATGTCTCTAAGTCTACTTGTGCTGCCCAACAATCGTAATACTTTTGTTCTGTCCTAGTGACACTGATTTTAGTATGAATGCAGGCATGTATACTTGGTTAAATATTTTATTATTTAAAAGTATAAACTCTTGGTCAGAGTATTTTAATCCCATTGTATTTATAGTCTGTATATCTTTTATGGGTTGATATACTCAATTCACTATAAACAATGCTCTGATACCAATCTGTCACACCCCAAAACCGGAACGGCGGAATCGTTCGGGGGTGGAGGACGTCATGTACAGTATCACAACAATGCAAAGTAGTAAACAAGCAACAACATCATCCATTGCATTAATAATATAATTTTAATACAAGTGTGTTCTGTCAAGTTAAATAGACACCAAAATATGAATCAAAATAAAAGATGAGTCTTGAACGAGCTCCATCTTCTCAAAACCTGGCATCGGTACGTGTCTACTGGCGACCTGAGGATACAAATTATTTTGAAAGAGAGTATCAGCTTTAAAGCTGGTGAGATCATAAGTATATTAGTGTCTGTATTTGTATGAAAGTGTTTGTAAGATGTTTTGAACTCTCCTAGAAAACCCTATGTTTCCTACTAAAAGTAGCCTTCTACCAAGACATCTAGTGGTCGTGTGTGTTTCTCTTGTAAGAGTATGTATTTTCCTAAATCTGACTATCATTATCCAAAAATATAGTTTTTACATTACTGTATATTGTGTGAAGATCACAAAGTGAATGCAATGGGAAAATGAAATAGTACTGTAGTGTTGTATTAAGTAACTACTGCTGTACTAACTACCTTAAACCAATTGTAATTTAAAGTACCATGTGATCGGCCTGTACCCTGCTACCGACTATAGAACGCGACAATGTAAGATGTCGGAAGAAATGACGTTTGGCACCCGTAGACTTGCAAGTCCCACTGTAGCGAGCAGCAAGGTGTAGGATAGTCAATCCAATATAGATCCATACACAAACTCAACGCTCTCCATTTAAGGAGATTCTGGATACAAAACGGGCCATGACAGGTGATGCCATGCCCCGTTACGTGGCTCACATAACTGTAATAGTATTCTTGTATATGTATTGAATGTACTAGCTGTATTGTGTGTTCTCTCTCTATCTAGTATGTATGTATGTTCTCTCTGTGTGGTATTGTTTATTCTCTCTCTGTCTAGCATGTATGTTTTCTTGTAAAATGTATAGTATGTACTAGCTGTATTGACTCATGTATGAACTGACTCATTGCATGTTTCAGTGTTCTAGTAATACTATTAGTAACTTTCTAAACTATACCTATTATAGCTTACTAGTAATAGGATTTGCATGTATGAACATGTTTGTATACCTTTGCTACCCAAAGGTATTGAATCGAAAGAAGGAACTTTTATATCTATATACATATACATAATATATAACTAGGATTCAAACGACCTTCGGACAAATAACCGATACCCTAAGTCCACAACCAAACGAGGAACATGAGGTAAGGTGAGTTATCAGTCCTAAGTCCTTTCAATCCTACTTATATAACTATATCTATAAAGATATACATTTAACAGAATATAAGTGTAAAAGAGTTTAAATAAAAGTAATTGACATGTAAAAGAGTTTACTAAAAGTAATTGACATGTAAAAGAGTTTGATAACAGTATTTGATATGTAAAAGAGCTTGTAAAACAGTTTGAAAAGTAGTTTGTTTGATAACACAGTTTGAAAAGTAAGAAATCCACTTGTTTGGTAGTTATTAATCACATGATTAATATAATAACTATAATAGATCAACTTGTATCCCCCCCCCATAAAAGCATTTAAAATCATTTAAAAGGTTAATTAAGGGGTATGAACTCACCTGTAGTGAGTGGTTTGGATGAACGGATGGTATAGGATGCTAAGTGTCAAGTGAAGACTTGAACACACATAAGGATCCTAGTTAACATATAATAACACATATATGTATCCAATTAGTCATTTAACAACTAATTAATCAAGTAAAGACACTCTAGGACATGAAAAACACCTTGATTCAAGTGTTATAAGTACTAAGGATTGCATCTAAGGGTTGTAGGGCCTTGCATTTGAGTTTAGGGTCTAAGGGTAAACTCTTCTGGAGTTTACGGTTTCGTGACCAACTCCTTTGGATTTTACGGTCGTAAACCCATGAGTTTACGGCCGTAAACTCATGGCACTTTTACCATTTTGTGTTTTGAAGCTTTAAAAGTCATAAGAAGCATTCCTACTTCAAGTCTAAGCCTTTGGAAGTGATTAGGGCAACATTTCACCCCTTTATGGAGTTTACGGCCCATGGACCATTTCTCCATGTGTTTACGGCCGTAAACCCATATGGTTTATGGTCTTTTTGATGTTTAAGGTCCTAAGCACATCAAGGATGGATCTAGGCTAGTATCCAAGGATTGGTAAGGTACTAGGGCACACTTTGGCCCCTTCATTAGGGTTTACGGTCCAAGAACATCTTGGACCGTAAACACCTTTGATCTTGTGTTTCCTTGTGTTTTCTAGATGATTTAGAAGTGTAACAAGTCTTATAACACACTAGGGTAAGAGTACTTACTATGTAGAAGCTTGAAAAGGTGTTAGAAGTCCAAGAACACTAGTGTGTGTTCTTGGTGAAACTAAGAACACTTGAAGATCTACACAAATGGAATGATTTCACGGATGGAATCATGTAAGATCACTAGATTAAGTAAGATATCAACTAATTAGGGCAAGAAACACTTACAAAGTTGAAGATCAAGAAGGAAAATCGGATGATACTTGAGAGGATTTGAGTTCTAGTTCTTGAAAGTGGTGAAAAAGTGTTAAAAATGACTAAGTGTCACTTTTATACCCCTTGGGGTTTACGGCCGTAAACACCATGTTTAGGCCGTAAACTCCAAACTCTTGGAGTTTTGGGACTTTATTGTTGCACAATAAACCCTAGGGCATCCTCTCTCCAGTTATTTCCTGAAGTACTAGGCTTTAGAACACTCAAACTGACTCTACACAGCTCAAAAGTTAGCAGAAACAGTTCTGACTTCTATTGAAGTGAATTGTTGTACATAATAGAAATTTCGGGTTGTCACATTGGGTATGGCTGAAATCCAAGAAGAAGGCTTCAGCGGAGCGGAGACGGTCTCGTTTATGGTATCTTTCTCTAACTTTCACCTCCAAACTCAATATCACTGAAACATATATGGAGGAACAGCAAGGGATGGAAAAAATCGTGAATGATAGTAGGTGAAAGAATGAGGTGGGGTTTATAGAGTACGTGAAGCGGGCGGCGGTAGAGGTGGTGGAAACGATGGACTTGAAGAGGCGGGTTGTTGGAAATCAAAGCCCTAATCGAATCGAGAAAGATCAAAGCAAAATCGAGGAAGTCATCGTAGCTACATCTGATTTCTGGCAGTGAAAAAAAGTAAAGAGAATAAGAATTTAGGAAGACAATAAAGTCGATGGCGGTGGATAGAGTCGGTGAACAAAAAGAAACAGACATCAGTAGACATCGGTGGTGAAGCAGCAGCACACAAATCTGAATACGATTGGTCCAGGCTGCGGTGACACAACAATACAACACGTACCCAAGACACCAATCCACACGCTCATAACACGCAAGCAAAGAAAAAAAAAATCTTAAAAATCCAACCAATCACATAAGAACACATACCCACCAAGAATATACAAAATGACAAAATATAACCCATAAAAATAAGGACACCGATTTGCAACCCCACCCATAACCAAAGGAACCCCACCCATAACCAAAGGACCAGTTTTGCCAAAAATGTTGGATGTTCACTATTCTTTAGCATTGTCCAAGTTTAATATGTATATATAATACAGATAAATTAAAAAATATTGGGGTAAAACGTCATTGGGCTCGGACCATCACCAAGTTTGCCCGGACCGACAAGAAAATAAATATGAAATTGTCCTTTCTTTAATTTTATAAATATTTCGGCAGAATTTCTATTATTATAAAAATGATATGGTATTTGAAGTTTCTCTGGAAGGAACTAGAACAAGTTATTATTCTTCAATTACTTGATTCCCCGTCTTCATTCTGTGTTGGGTGCTTGATACGATCATTATCTGGTGCAGAAAAGAAAGAAGATGCCGTTGGTGAGAAGAAACAATAGGAACGTGTCGAACGGGATGATACCCTTGATGCTATTGCAGGCCGTGAACGAGTACCGGAGGCTTGAACGTAAACCCCCGGTAACGGCGGCGATTCTTGCTGCCAACACCCTCATTTATCTTCGACCTGCTTTCCTTCATCAGATCCTTCCCAAAATTGAAGACGTCTTGTTCAATGCTCATCTCATCGTTAAGGTACATTTTAGGGTTTCATTTCTGCCTTAGCAAATCAAAATCACAAGCTCCTCTGTTTCTCTCAGTCAATATGTTGTGTTGTTTTGAGCAGGATAAGGACCTAAAACGCTTATTCTTATCTGCTTTCTACCATCTTGGTGAAACTCATCTTGCCTACAACATGATTTCGCTTCTATGGAAGGGCATCCAGTTAGAAACTTGGTTAGGAAGTGCTGAATTCACATCTATGGTTGCCACCCTACTTGGGTTGTCACAAGGCATCACGCTCTTATTAGCTAAATCTCTTCTTCTTCTTTTCGATTATGAAACAGCTTATTACCATGAATACTCTGTTGGATTCTCTGGTGTCCTGTTTGCAATGAAAGTCGTACTTAATTCACATTCAGATGGCTACACTAATCTCCATGGATTTGTGGTGCCCGCAAAGCATGCTGCTTGGGCTGAATTGATTCTCATCCAATTGTTTGTTCCTAATGTATCCTTTCTAGGCCATCTTGGTGGGATACTCGCAGGCATAGTTTATCTACGTTTAAAAAAAGCCCCTTCTCCTTTGACAACAATGGTGAAAGCGTTAACTTCTTTAGTAAGATCTCTACTGATGCGGATATGGCAGCAGTCCCCCCCACGACAAAGGGGAACAAGTGCAGGTGCAGGTGGTATATGGAGGTGCCGGGCTTGTACATATGACAACTCCGGTTGGTTAAGTGTGTGTGAAGTGTGTGGGACAGGGCGTGGTGATGATGGATTATCTTCTGTGCAGTTGTCGAATTCAGAGATGATTCCTTTAGATGAAATACGTCGCCGAAGGATTGAGAGGTTTGGTAGATATAGATAGATAGATATATAATCTTTACCAATTGTAAGTGTAAGGATACTTATCATGTAAATTAAGCCAAGGTATAGCAAATCATTCAAGCAAATACAAAATTACAAATTAAAGAAATGGAAGTCCATGTTTGATTGAGTTTATTTTTATATATAGGTCCATCCTCGTTTGTGTTTGTCAATTTTGTGATATGTTTGTCGTTTTTTGACACAATACAAAACCTTCTTATACTACATTTTTACCACACACCGGACTAGATTGGATTGATATTGATAAAACATAAATTACAATTCTTCACCCCATCTAAATAATCTCTTGTTTATACAAAAGACAGATATGAATGTCATTCTCATCTTCATTGTCGGAAATGATGCAAGAACTTTGTCTAATCCCATCCGGTCATGCCGTTGTGCATATATTCTCTATGTCCATGCTTAATCCATATCTTATTCTTTGGCGAAATTTATATCCACTTTCATAAATATCTTGTGTTTGTAATTATATAGTTACCAACTTAAAATGCTTAAGTAAATTTTGATGGTCATGGCATTTTTTCTAGTACAGATTATAGAAACTAGAAAGTTTTGTTATAGCATTTCCATTGTTGGACCTCATTTAGAATTACTATAACATCGTCATTCTGTTACATTGTTCTTTCTGTCAAGTTGTTCATCACCATCTTTTTTAATTTCATTAAATTGTAACAAAACAAACCCCAACTATTGGCCGCCACTATAATCATAGCAACATTTTGCTTTGGGAAGTTTTTGTTTCACTGTTTTGTTTAAACATATTGGTACCTTTTGTTTGATTGTTTTGTTTATTTTGTCCGAGTCAAAAAACCAATGATTTGAAGCACTTCTTTTTATATTATTTGGGAACCTCAAGGACTCAGTTGTATGAATATATAAAATACAGGATTTCCAATTCTAGCAGGAATATGAGGGAAAGATACTCAATTTAAAGTGAGTAGATAGAATTTCATACTCGATCTCATAGATACATATAGAATTCTGTGGAAAGTCGTATTCGATAAAAGTCGTACTGCTAACTAGCATGATTGCGCTAACTATGAATATGATGTCTGAAGATGAAGACCTACTTTAAATGTTATTGAAATGGTTAGATTATTATTTAAGCAAAATATCTTTTTTCTTTGAATGAGTTATAATGATTTAACTTATTCTATAACGATTTATTTGTATGTGTATACCTAATTATTTCATACAAGTTGAGTTGTACTTCGATAATATCAATGGACTAGAAACTACATTGTTAGCATTTAAATGGTCTTATTATGGGCTTGTTTTTTCGGTTATTATGCGCACCTTAGGTTCTACACATGATGGTTTTACTATCGGTTAACCAAAAAATAGAAAATCAACCTTCGGTTTTAGTGATGGTTAGTGATTATGGGTTGGTAGTTCGGTTTTGGTTCGTCTTTTTGATAACTCCCAAGGTTTTACACATGACGACACAAAACGTGCTTCTGTTTATGACATTTTTCACTTGTTAATTTATTCTTGATGCTTCATCTATTCGAGAACATCCCTTGTATGATTCAAGGCTATCATGTTTACAATTGGATTGATGTTTGCTTCACATTTACAACAATGTAAGACAAATGATCTACGAAAACAAAATACATGTTAAAATGCATTTTTACATATTTACACAAGTTTATGGCTTTATGTTGGGGTAGTATCTTTTTTTTTTACTTCATGGCATAATATCAACTTTTAATCTCGAAAATGATATAAGAATCTTTCATTTTGAGTTAATTTAGACATAATGACTTCATCGTTTCCACAACTAAATATGACTTATTGTATTAAGACACTACTATTTACCTATATACCCTTCTTATTATTTCATCCTATTTTCCATTAATTTATAGTTGATGAATATGTGAACTTTCATTTTTTTGGAATATAAGCATAAGATGGCCACTTAGTCAGGCCCGACCCCCTAAGGGGCACGTTTGGCGATGGCCCCGTGCCTCGCAACGGTTTGGGGCCCCAAAATTAATTCTGCTTTGATATTATACATATATAAGTTTTCTTAACAATTTATTAAACTTCTTGAGTTGGTTACGAAACATTGTCTTAGACGCTTCACTTTATTGATAGGTCTAGGTTCGAATCTACTTATATACACTTTTTAAATTAATATGCATTTGCTTTATTTTATTACCTTTTTTATTATCAATTGGAGGGGCCCTTTTTCTTTTATTATTTTTTATCATAATTAGAAGCGTTCGCCCCGCATTGTGGGGGGTTAGAAGGTGTTGTTTTTTTGTGAAATTATAGTACATTGCCTGATTTGGTAGCCATAGTAAACTATGTTGCTATTCTCTGCAATTTGCCCATTTAGAAACGCAATAAAAAAATGAACGTATATTGGTATTTTCATGCTTAAAATGATAAAAATAAAGGACATTGCCTTTTCTAGAGAAAATGATCCAAATTGCAGAAAACCAAACATTAAAATGAAATTACATTGCCTTGTTATTTAATAACACCATACAAACCAAACATTAAATGTAACACCCGGTTCCTGGTACGTATTTAAATAAGAAATTATTCACATTTGCTAAGGGACTCGACGAGTTGGAGGCCCCAAACTCGTTGTAACACCCATAAAATTCAAGCCAATTTAAAACTTTTTAAAACATTTAAAACCATTAAGTTATTACAGTTTACTTTCAAAATAATTTAAACATCAGAGTATCCCCAGAATCAATCATGAAAATGTAAGGAGGTGCACGATCACGCCTTCGCCTTCCCGCGATCATCCGAATACCTTAAACAATAATCGATAAATGTAAGCTCGAAGGCTTAGTGAGTTACCCCCAAAATACCAACGCCATACATATATAACCATATCATATAAATGTATAAGCAAACAACATGCATAATGAGCCATCAGTCTGACTGGACCGAATCTTGGACCTCAGTCTATCTGGACCGCTCTTCGAGCCCTAAACACATCTGGACCGCCCTCCTCGGGGCCTTCAGCCTATCCAGACCGCTCGCTGGGCCTTCGGCCTGACTAGATTTTCCCGACCCGGGCCTGCAGTCTACCCGGTCCGCCTAGGGTGTCTTGGCCTACTGCACACAGCAGGACCTGCCTCAACCCTTTCCCCAAACCAATAAACATGTACACATAAATATCATACGCTAGCATGCAATAACAGATAGTCATACAGATCTACCTGATCTCTCACATAGAAACCATCCTATAACCAGGATATCAATCAAATAGATTACTAGCATAACAACCATCCTAAACCAGGATGTAATCTAACATAACAACCATCCTAAAACCAGGATGAAATCTAACATAGCAACCATCCTAAACCATGATGTAATCTAACATAGCAACCATCCTAAACCAGGATGAAATCTAACATAGCAACCATCCTAAACCAGGATGTAATCTAACATATCAACCATCCTAAACCAGGAAGTAAATCATAAAGGGCCGACTTTGGTGCCGTAGACCCTATTGATATAGTGAGGGGAACTCACCTAACACTGCTGAAGTCCCGCAGATAAAACTCCAGCTGCTGGTTGACAGATTCCCGAACTATCAACATCAGACAATACCCAATTAATAATTGGGTTCCAATACCCAAGACCAACTCACACTCCAAAAGCCCAAAAGTCAAGTAATGGGCCAAAGCCCAATATATGGCCCAATTTTCCAAATTGGGCCCAGACCTTTACATGGTCTTTCTTTAAAGCCCATCCAATCATTCTAGTCCAAATCTTTGTATTCCCATGGCCCAATATGACATAATCATAAAGGCCCAAATATGGCCTAATTTTCCAAATTGGGCCCAAGACTCTCACATGGGCCTTATCCTAAAACCCATACAATTATTTAGTCCATTTACTTATTCTTGGAAAGCCCATTAATAGTCCAATCACCAAAGCCCACTAGAAAGGCCCAATTCAAGGCCCAAGTGAAATTAGGGTTTTATGCAATTAAGGTTTTCCAAACCCTAATTAGGGTTTCCAACCCAATACTAGCCCATTAATCACATGGTTGGGCTTTTAGGTCCATTAGGGCTTCCTTGGGCCCATTAAGGTTTCATTGGGCCCACTAGGGTTTCTTTGGGCCCATTAGGGTTTAGTAGTCCCTTGTCCAAACATCCAAATGAGTCGCAACCAAACAAGGCACACCGCCACCCGACACGGCGGCCGGTGGCGGCAGCCACGACCTCACGGTGGTGGTTAGAGTTTCTTTTTCACTATTCTTCTTTCTAGTTACATTTACAATGCTAAACCCCAAATAATCACACACACACACACACACACTAATACAAACACATATACACAACAACCTAGTGGTGGCTGACGGTGGTAAATGGTGGCAGCCACCACCTCACGGTGGTGGCAACGACTTTTCCGTGAACTCCGGCCGGACAGTACACCATCCACGACCAGCATAGAAACCGAAGCGTCATGCACTTGAGTATTGCTCGAAAGTGAACCCACACCCATATGTGGTGGGCGGCGATGCCGGTAAGTGAAACAGCCGACAGCAGCGAAACAGCCGGCAGCAACAGTGGTTCACAGCAGCAATAGCGGCCTAACGTCCGGCGACGACTGGGTCTTCAACGACAATGGCAGCGACGGTGGTATCAATGCAACAGTGAAGTGAGAGCAGCGGAGCTAGACAGACAGTGGCGATGGGCGACGATAGCTCCGACAGAAAGGAACGAAGATGAGGGCTCACGGTCTCCGGTGGACGCGATGTCGACAGCGGTTGACGATGGCATCGCAGCTTCAGCATGGTGGCAACGCCGGTGGTTGGTGCTCGAACTCAATAAGGCGGAAGCGGCCGGCAATGGGGATACAAGGTGGTGGTCCATGATGAGGGTGGCGGCTGGGAAAGGGGAGGTATAAGGGTGGCGGCTGCTATATTCTTTTGGGTTAAGGTTAGTTGAAGTTGTGTTTTATATGCATAGGAAGAAGGTGACGGGAGAAAGGAGCCGGGTTTAAGTCCCGTGTTCCAAATGAAAATATGATGCATTTTTACAAGTTTGGCCCCCGACTCCACAATTTAATTCAGTTAAGATCCAATATTTTCACTAC